TATTGTGAGTTTTTGTAATTTGTGTTATTAAATTTTGTACTTTAAGAGTGAATTTTATACCTACAAGCCTACAACAAATTAGTAGATGTGTAACACACAACATATTGTGCGTCTTATTGATGAATTTATGTTTTGTGCTGTGAAATTATGTCCCTATATAACAAAAATTCTCTACCTAAATCAGATTTGAAAATAAGTAAATATATAACATATGTATGTGTCTCGAATTGTGAGTTTATGTGTCTTGTGTTATAAAATTTTGTATCTTAAGGGGCGTTTGGTTTATGGAATCTTATATTACCCCATGTAATATACTACGTATAAGATTACCTCGAGGAAGGTAATATAAGATTTTGAGAATGTAAGATTATCTTATGTGTTTGGTTTGGATTGCGATTATATAATATTAATTTGTTTGGTTAATGATTATATTTTAGGTTGTATAGATCAATTTATCATAATGTCTTTAATTATATATATGTGTGTGTGTGTGTGTATGTGCGGGGGGGGGGGGGGGTAAGGTTCCCGTGATCATTAGGTACACATAAATACACCACAAAGTATTCGAAAATGCACTATTAGGTGTGGTGCGTTTTGTGGTGCATTTCTGAACACTGTGTGGTGCATTTTTATATACTTGATGGTGAATCCGCAACTATTGCACAGAAAGCATTGTCTGCATTATATTTAATAAACAATGTATTATGATTCTTAAAACCTATTTATCAAAGAATTGAATGTTTTCAATTGATATTTCTAAAGGCGAATATAAATGCTTGAGTGCAATTGTGGGTGATGACTCGTGGCATTGGCATCTTCCTTCTGTATACCTAAATTTCAAAAGTCTTGAGCAACTTGCTAAACAGAATATGGTAAAGGGCTTACCTTGTATTAGTTATCTCAAGCATATGCGTGAAGCTTATGCTTTTGAAAAAAGTCATTCGTTACCATTCCTGGAAGTTCCTTAGGCATGCAAAACAACCATTGGAACTCGTCCATACCAATATGTGGGCCTATGAACACTCTTATCACTCGGTGGTAACTAGTATTTTCTACTTGCTCACACAAACTTTGTAATGAACAAGATATAGAGTATAATCATCTGCAATAAATATTTTTCTTTGTTATTTTCTTTTTGTCTCATATCTATGGTCTTGTTACAACATTAGTTTCAATGTACCTCTATTCTGAAGTCTTATACCTCAAATTATTCTACAGGGAGTAGAGAAAGATGGCGATAATAATAATGGTGAGAAGAATGACGGTGGAGACACCATAACGTCTCCCCCTTCTAACAACAACGAAGACGAGGCAGCGGTGGAGGGTGGCAACGTGGCGAACGACGGGGTGATGAGCCAGCCGCTGCCGCAGCCGTCGGCGATGCCGTCGACGTCGTACCATTACCGGTCGAGCTCGCAGGCGTCGCTGATGGGGCCGCCGACAAAAAAGAACCTGGTGTCGAGCATGAGCATGAAGGTGCGCAACAAGAAGCTAAAACACGAGGATTCCATATGGAAGAAGACGATCATATCATTTTAGGAGAGAAAAATAAAGTCCGCAACGACAGTCAAGAGGAGATTATTTACGACGAGGACGGGAATCGGATCATGCCGTACCACCCCAAATTAAAATGCCCGCCGCTCCGCCACCGATGTCACGGCAGAGCTCCGTTAACGAAGACACCATACCAAGATGATCACAAAGTCTATAATTTTCATACATGAATATAATTGAAATTCAAGATAATTAGCCAACTATTTGCCAAAAAACAATAAAAAATAAAGAAGAGTAAATTCCATTTTTAATCCTAGACTATTGTGGCATTGCCACGTTTAATCTTACTTTATTAATTTTTCCATATTAAATTCCTGACTTTAATTTGATTGCAACTATTGATCCTCCGTTAAAATTTTCGTTAGTTTACCGTTAATAATAAGGTCAATTAATGTAATTTAATAACTTATCTCAAATATATATCAAAATCCATCTTTTTTATTAGACTTCCTTTCTCTCGTAACTTTCGCGCTATCCCCCGCTTTTTTTTTTTGGTTAATCGTGCTATTTTTTTTTTTGGGTTAATTGCGCTATCCCTTTCTCAGAAGTATCATAACTTCTATGCGCTATCTCTTTGTCCTTCTCTGTGGTGCCTGTACTATCTCTTTCTCAGAGCTCCTCTGCTCTATCCATCTCTCTCCTTGAATTATTTAACCCTAATCACTAGGAAAGTAATAGAGAAAGAAATTGAAATTCTCACTTGGGCGAAGAATCAGACTATTAATACAATTAATTCAAGTCACAGTTTAGCTAGTAGTTCATCATGATGAAATATGATCTGAGTATAATTTGGGTTTCTTCTAATCTGATCTTCTTTTCCTACTTAGCTAGTTCATCATGGGTTGAAAAGTAGGTCCCCGGATTTACACTTCCAGCACATGGGCTTGTAATTGGAGAGATAATACCCTCTTGTATAGGCCACATTCTTGGGGACTGCCTCTACTTGTCTGTTGGTGTTTGAAGGTTGGAACAACGGGGACTTGGACTGCTTCACACTGGCCACAGTTTCTGCACCTACTCTCACATATTGGTGGCCTTGACCCTATCAGAGAGAGTTACGGGGAGGAAGTATAATAAAAAATATGAATTTTGATTAGTATTTGAGACAAGTTATTAAATTATATTATTGACCTTATTATTAACGGTAAATTAACGGAAAGTTTAGCGGAGGACCAATAGTGACAATCAAATTAAAGTCGATGACGTAATATGATAAAATTAAAAGAGTAGGACTAAGTGTGGCAATGCCACAATAGTCTAGGACTAAAAATAGAATTAGCTCAATAAAAAATTAGCCAAACTAACTAAGGCTAATCTCATCCCAGAAATTTGTATCCGTGTTAAATGATGTGGAAGAAAGAGAAAGTATTATTTTTTTTTTTTATTTAATGCTAATGTGTATTACAAGTATTGCAAATTTGCAAGTGCTTACTAAACTACAATGTGGCAGCTTTTTGCTGCCAAAGCCGATGCCACTTTTTTGTATATATGTTTTTTATTTTATAATATAATAATATAATATGAAAGTGTGATCAATTTTTAAAGGTGAGAGGTATTTGTAGAGATAAGAATAGCCTAACATTGTAGATAAGTAAGATAACCACAACAATATAATATAATAATATTATTGAAAGGCACATTTTGGCAAAGACAAACGTTAAACCAACAGGATTGTAATTGTCTACAACCCAATACCCAAGTCTAATAGGCATCTCTGCAATTTTTAAACTTAAAAGACTACCAAACCCAAGCTCAGCAACAACAACCCTTTGTACCTCACTTAAATCCTGCATGGCATATATGAATTGGTGTGTAGATGACCTTGTTTTCAATGTAGGGTAGGCACTACGCTTCTAGACTGGCTGCTTTACTTGTAAAGATCATGACAAATTCACAGGAGATGTTGCACTGCTTAGGGCCAACATGCTTATAGGTATTCCGTGATCCTTTCCTTGATTTTTTATATACTACAACCTGTTTTGACCTAGTTTGATCAAGCCTTTTTCGAGGGTTTGGAACTAAACACAAATAGTCAAACAAAACATAATACAAAATTAGATTAGATAGTATTTAAAATCCAACCTAATCCAAACACAATAGAAGATTAAAAAAAAAAAAAAAAAAAAAAAAAAAAAAAAAGATTGCAAGGCTCAAAAATTTGCACTTAGAGTAACCAAAATATGCACTTGAAGGCATGAAATAAAGCACTTGAAGGCATAAAAATGTACACTAATCCAAACACAATTGAATATAAAAAATACAATTCAATCTCAAAAAATGGGCAATCAAAGTAACCAAAATGTGCACTCAAAAGCATGAAATTGAGCATTTGAAGGCATAAAAGGAAAAATTCAAAGCAAAATAAATCTTGAAGGCTATAATATGCACTTAAAGGCTCTAAAATGTGCACTCAAAGAAAACAAAATGTGCACTCCAAATCAACCCAACAAAAACTTGGGGAAAAAGAAATGTGAACTCATATACATTACTATAAACACGAATACAAATAAATTATGCACTCGAAGGAACAAAATGATGCAATTGAAGACAGAAGATGATGCACCCAAAGACAACAGAAGCAAATAGCACACTAAGTTCAATCTACTAATAATAAACCCTAACAAAGTCATTGATCAATATATCACAACTAAACCACTAGAAATTAATACAACCACAAACACTAAAATGTGAACTACTAACAACATATACAAATTATGAAGAAAAACCATAATCGCACAAAAAAAAAAAAAAAAAAAAAAAAAAAGAACATGCATGCTCAAAAATTACAGAACAAAGACTAATCACACATTTATAATCTCAATCCTTGTTCCAGTTGAATGAAATTTACCTCGTCACTCCGGACTGTATTGTTCACGATGATCTGCGTTCTCCTTCGAAGCCATGACTGCTCCTCTATAGTCGATACTCTGAAATCGTTGCTCTGTATTAAAGTACACTACCTCTCCTCGCCGAAACAAGTGTATATGTTCAAAAACTACAAAAACCTTGATAGAGAGGTTAGAGACAAAATGGAGAAACCATGAACGAGATAGTGGGGATGTTAGAGTTCTAATTTGAGTTGAGTTTGATTAGTTTCATACATTGCTATTGATAGTTTTGCCCCTCAGACGAGGGAACGTTAGTAATAAAGCAATGAATTTACAATACTGCCTCCGCATCAAGTATGCGTAATCTAATATAAACCCAATGGCTGAGATTAAAAATTAAGTTAGATCCAATGTGTTAAGACTTAGTCTATCTGGTAGTTTGTTACTAGGCTAGTCTTATGCTTTACTGTTATTAGCTTCCTTTTGTTATGCTCTGTATACTATTTATATGCTTGTTTTCACAGTGAATAAACCATTCCCGTTACCACTCTCACATGGTATCACAACCAGCACTCTAACGAGAATTTTTTTTTCCCTCTTTCTTCTCCTCTCTCTTTCATGGCTGCTGTTACTCCTGCACCAATAGTTCAAATTCATGCCCCCACCCACCTGCCAATCAAACTCACATCTTCCAATTTTCTTATTTGGATGAAACAAGTGGAGTCTACTCTCATAGGGCTAGACCTTGTGAGCTATGTCACTGGTTCAACGGTTGCACCGGAGAAGTTTTCTGATCAGGCACATACTACCGTAAACCCGGCCTATACGGCTTGGTTTAGACAGGATCAGACTATCATAAGTGCCATTTTGGGCAGCTTGTCGGACACTCTACAACCCATTATTTCCTCTGCATCATCTGCATGTGATGCATGGACCCGCCTATCCACCAATTGCGCCGCCGCTTCTCGGAGTCGTATCGTTTCGCTAAAGGCGAAGCTAGCGAAGAATCCTAAAGGCAACAGGTCTATTGAAACCTATATGCGGGAGATGAGAGCGATTGCGGATGATTTGGCCCTCGCGCAAAGCCCGGTTACTGAAGAGGATCTTGTGGTGCATATTTTCACGCAATTGGGTGACGAGTACAATTATATTGTCACTGCGCTACGTGTACGTACAGACACCGTCTCATACGGCGAGTTCCACGATGTACTCACAGACTATGAAAGAATACTACGGGACAATGAAACTGTTGCACAGGTTCATATGCCTACCGCTAATGCAACACAGCGGCGCTTCAATAGTCCCCATGGCGCTCAGTCTCAGAATAACCGGCGTGGCCGAGGTGGTTCCACCATGTCCAACGGGCAACAATACCAAACGAAGAACACTGGTAATCGGTCTGCTACGTTCTGTAACTATTGCGAATACCCTGGACATGACACAAAGTTCTGTCGGAAACTTGCAAAATTCTTAAGGGAAAACAATGTTGCTGTTGTCGAGCCATTTTTCCCAAAAGAACTTGAATAACTTAGTTTTTCTGACGGAGTGGTCATTTTTTATCAGGAACGCTATGTCATTTACAATCCCGGCGTATTTCAGGTGCTTGAAGGCCCCGCTGACCCGAAGTGATTTAGAAAGAGTCTTCTTTATCAATTAAGAATCCTACAACTCTCTTTACTGAGCGAGACTCCATCCATATCCCTACTAGTGGTTTTTCTTTCATTCAATCATCACTTGTTTGACAGCTTAAACTAGGCTCCACTTTAGAGATAGGTTTGTTTTTGGTCAACATCAAAATAGGTCAAGGGCGCGTCGGAACGATCGGTAGCTGCTTAGTCTCATCCGAGAGTACAATCTCCTTACTGCTTTTGAAAAAAAAAAAGAGGAGTGGTCGATTTAGGCTCCTTCCCTTCCACTGCGTAGCCGCGCTAGCAGGTACTACGAGCCCTCTGTCCCACGCATCTAACCAGCTCGCGTGGTTCACCGGTTCCACCGAAAACTCTCATTTGTTGAAGCAGAGCATAGTGCGCTTTAGGCGCCGAGCAAGAAACGTCTCTTCTTTCGTTTCGGTTTATTCACTGATTTGAAACTTAGCACTTGTTTTCTTATTGATTCCAGGGGCGGTGGCATTCTTTAATGAAGTATATTTGAACCGAATTAGCACTTCTCAGATCAGGCTAGGCCTCTCCAGCTGAGCTGGGCGTCGGGACCCTGGATGCGCTAGCGATTGGCACATAGAGGAGTGGTTGCCCGGGTTTATCGGCCTAGTATCCTGCACCACGCTGTAACACCCTAAAATTTTGAAACTTTTAAAACTTATATAATAAAGGTAAATTCTCATTAAATCTTAAAATGGAGTATTACTAAACATAAGAGTGTGGGGTGCTATGCCACATCTGAGCTGGAGAACTCAGATGTACAGGCTAAACTAACTAGATATCCTCAATACATCAGTATGGCACGCAGGCTGAAAGGAAAACTATCTAACTAATCCAAGTTCTTCTAGCGCGCTCCGGAAGCTAATCATCTGTGCCTGAAAGCCAAATATATCTGTTCAGCGAATAATGCTGGTAACCCACTCCAACGCGTTGAAATACAATATAGGTATATATATATATATATATATATATATATATATATATATATATATATATATATATATATATAGATATATGAAAACCATTTTGAAGCAGGAAGATATATACTTAGGAGACTCTAGCTTTAAAACCAGGAATAGACTCGACAGGTAGGGATAAGCACATTAAACAATGATAATCAGTTATATAGAGACAATATCATAAAGAACATGTATCTAAGGACACAGTTAACTTTCAAATCATTCACATCATCATTCAAGTCACACAAGCACACTTTGGTGGCGCCACGGGACCAATCGCATGCCCCAAACATGAAGGTTAGTACATATAGTACTTAACACGGTCTCGCAGCACCCTATCTCATACCGCAGCATTAAGGGGTTTATCGCAACCAACCGTATAGACTGTCGACGATTTCAATGGCGGATCACAGCCCTACACACCGCTGACGCGCTCAGTCGGTGGACTGTGATCCTCTTTTGGGGACTGCGACCCTACACACCGCTTGACGAACTCAGTCGGTGGGTCGTAGTAGATCAAAGCCCTAAACACCGCCTGAGGGACTCATTCGGTGGGCGATGATTCCTTTTGGGTCAGCTTCTATGCCTCTCGGAGCGAATCGGGTGGACCTGAATTGTTAAACGGGTTGAGAAACACCCAGATCACATTGTGGTTTATATATATATATATATATATATATATATATATATAAATGTAATCATATGGGTAGCTAAAGAGCCAATGATGTCCAAAAGCTAGCCTCATTGACCTTAACGTAGGGGTTTGACGACTCCATTCGCCTTGAATAATTTTTTAGTTTAAAGACGGATCAGAGAAAATTAGCATATAAATAATTATTTTGAGTGAGGTCAGCTAATGGTTTATATTATTAAGAATTGAGGGTATGAAGTAGTATATGGCCAGTTTGGTAAAATAGTTAGCATATTCGTTAATTTTGACTTATTTGATCACTATTAGTTGTTGTTTTAGTTAGACAATCAATATGAGTGTTTGCTTAATTAGCTTTTTGTAATAATTTTTTGTTCCAAAATGTTAAAATTCAAAAAGCTACTTTGAGTAGCATTTTCAATTAGATTTTTGATAAAGTCATTTATATGTAATCACCTAACAACTAATAGTTAATTCACCAAACATTTTTTCTACAATCAACTAATGCTATCAACTAGTTAAACCCACTAACAACCATTTACCAAACACCCCCTATATCTTTCAACTTTGTTAATAAACGTAAAATATATTGACCCTATTTGATAATATAGTTAGCTTATCAGTCAATTCTGGCTTATTTGACTACTATTAGCTGTTTGACGTGGTTAAACACTCATATTGATTGTTTGATTAATTAGCTTTTTGTAACAGCTTATTGTTCCAAAATGCTAAAATAAAAAAAGCTACTAAAATAGATTTTTCAATCAGTCTTTTTAGAAAGTCATTTTGCTTGTAATCAGCTAACAACTAATTTACTAAACACTTTTCTACAATCAATTAATATTATCAACTAACACTAACCCAATCAGCTAACAACTATCAACTATTACCAAACACTTCCATTGTTAGAAGTCTGTATTGTATGCGCATAAATAAAAGACTAAATATTTACTATTTGTCAAATACTTTCATTTATTTATTTTTGGGATCAAACTACTTGTTAAACTTTTTTTTTTTTTAAATCTCGAACACCTGTCGTTCTATTTTTTACACAGAAAACCAATAACGATTCCACTAAAGCTCGAACTCACAACCTTACAAATGAAAGTACAACCCGAATACCATTAGACCACATAGTCTTGGTAATATGGTACACGTTACTTCAGTATTCTTAACGTTAATTGGTTTGAAAATATCTCTATCTCTATATATATTAAAGCAAAATGATTAGAGAAAAAATTTTTTCCTTCAAAATAAAAGCATTTGTTGTATTGTATTCACATTACTTTATAAATTCATGTAATTTTAATTACAAATCAAATCAAATCAACATAACATGTCTATATATATTAAAGCAAAATGATTAGGGAAAAATCTCTATCTCTATATATATTAAAGCAAAATGATTAGGAAATTTTTTTCCCTAATCATAATCATCATAAATAATTAAATAAAGATGAAAAGAAAATCAAAGTGAATAATAAGCAAAAAGATTTTAGTGGATAGGAGAGTAATTCACAAAATTAATTTGAGTAATAATTGTTGATCCATAATTGAGAATTAACATTGCAATAATTATGTTATGTTTCTAACATTAATTGATTGGATATAAATTTAAAATTCATAATCAATATTTACATGAACATCTACACCTACTTTAACACTATAAATAAACCATCCATACATTTGGGCTTGTGCGGAACGGTATTTGAAAGCTTAGTAAATTTGAAATGATAAATTTTGGAATTTTATTACACATTGTTGAAGACTTCGTTCTACACAACATTTTTAGTCGTACTTAGACATGGTACATTTTCGCCACATATCAAAAATTTTAAACCCCTTGGGTTACTAACTCTTGAAACAGCTACGTACATTTACAGAACTTAGGTAAATATATATATATATATATATATATATATATATATATATATATATATATATATATATATATATATATATATATATATATATATATATATAGAGAGAGAGAGAGAGAGAGAGAGAGAGATATGAAAACCATTTTGAAGCAGGAAGATAAATACTTAGGAGACTCTAGCTTTAAAACCAGGAATAGACTCGACAGGTAGGGATAAGCACATTAAACAATGATAATCAGTTATATAGAGACAATATCATAAAGAACACGTATCTAAGGTCACAGTTCACTTTCAAATCATTCACATCATCATTCAAGTCACACAAGCACACTTTGGTGGCGCCACGGGACCAATCGCATGCCCCGAACATGAAGGTTAGTACATATAGTACTTAACACGGCCCCGCAGCATCCTACCTCATACCGCAACATGAAGGGGTTGATCGCAACCAACCGTATAGACCGTCGACGATTTCAACGGCGGATCACAGCCCTACACACCGCTGACGCGCTCAGTCGGTGGACTGTGATCCTCTTTTGGGGACTGCGACCCTACACACCGCTTGACGAACTCAGTCAGTGGGTCGTAGTAGATCAAAGCCCTAAACACCGCCTAAGGGACTCATTCGGTGGGCGATGATCTTCGGAGACTACGACCCTACACACCGCTGGCCCATACACTCGGTGGATCACAGCCGACCATAGCCCTACACACCGCTTGATCACTCATTCGGTGGACTATGGCCTTCCTCGGGCTAGTGGCCCTACACACTGCCTGGCGCGTCCAGTCGGTAGACCATAGCACACGAGGCCCAGGTGGACCGCAGCCCAAGAAGTGAATCACTGACCGCAGTCAGGAGAATGAACCGCAGCTCATAAGTAACCAATTTGATCGCAGCTCAGGAATAACCAACTTGATCGCAACCAAATTGGGGTATCATGCATCACATAACACATAGTAGCACTTATTAGCACGTTGGGAAGGGGGAAAACGTAGTAATAAACTTACGTGTGATCATTCACATACTAAGAATAGTTCTAAGGGGTTCATGCATCTTTCTCCTAGGCCAACGGGTTACCGATTCAACTAGCATGCAATACGTAACACTCTTTTACCCTACGAAAGGTACCCGAAACATCAAACTAGACTCATGCACGACAAACGGAGTCCGTTGGGACACCACGGGGGATCGGGGACATCAAACGGGGAAGCCAAAGTCCCGGAGTGAGCGACGACCAGCGGGTAGCCGGTGGGTGGAGGGCCACCCGCCGGCGACAGATTTCCGGGCAGCGGGTGCCGGCGGGCAGTCGCCTGCCCGCTGCCGGCGGTGTTTCTTTGGGCAGCGGGTAAGTGGTGGGCCCCCCTACCCCCACTGACTCTTTATTAAAATAAACGCCCCGGGATCCTTTGTGGAACCCGAAACCATGCTTAGACACTTTTAAACGTAAATAATGACACCACGTAGGCAATTAACAGATCAAAAGCAACAATCACGTAGAACACAACCTAACATTACTTCTAAACATAATTATCACCCGAGCATGCAAATTCCCACCCAAATATATATGAAGAACATCACAATACAAATTCTCAATTCAATCTAGGGCTCTAATCAGATTTATATCACAAAATCATACTTTATCTTTAAAATCAAGATTTATCAAGAATTAACACACAATTATCAAGATCCTCTTATCATCATCAAGATCACACATAAAATCATCTCAACAATTATCAAGATCATATCACAATTACCATAGAAGATTTCATCAAGACACGAGTATAGAATAGGGAGCCAAAGAAGAAGATTATAGTAAGAAAAATAGGTCTTGTTGAGACATGGGTTACCTCTTAGCCCTAATTAATCCTCCCTTGGCTATTAAGGTTCTTCTCTAAGATTTCCATCCGATTGATCTCCCTAGGCTTCGTGGCGGGGGAGTCTTCCAGGAGTATTTTCGTGTAATATAATTATGGGTGGTGTGGGTTCTAAATGCTTTCTAATCCTCTATTTATAGAATCAGGAATCCTAATCATAACCTGAATAGTAAAGGCCTACTTTCTTTATTCCCAATAGACATATAGGTCTAGTATTCCTAATTTGGATCTGACTAGTAAAAGGTTTACTCTCTTTATTCCTAATAGGCTTAAAACTCTGGGGCAAGGGTGCACGATCCATGGTGGACCTCATTAATTAATTAAAGGGAATCTTTAACCAAATTTAGTCCTTTTTAATTATTATTAACAGAATTAATTAAATAAATAATTCGGGATTAAAGGCCGTAACACGGGGTGTTACATCGCGTTCATGATATTGACATTCAACTGTGCCCTGGAGACACGGTCGAAGCATGCCCGCCCAGTGTGCTTCTTTCACGACATGCTATAGTCCTGGGTGTCTTCCAGTGGTCTTCTAGCCTTAGAAGAAGTCGTGTCCGTCCCAGGCATCTGCAACGTCCTCCTTTGATATTCTAATCTGGGACAACTAAAAGACTGAGCCATGCGGTTACTTTCACGGTCGCCCTCACTAAACCAACTTGAATCTGAACTACGATTCAGATCACATCTTACTGAAATCGGATTTCCTTTGCGTGCCATATGCGCTTAGACTTCACTTTTTCCCCGTTTTTCTTCCCCGTCCAATATTTATTCTCGAAGGTCTTCGTTTTCGTGTAAAAGAAAACTCTCCAAATTTATGACCAACCTTTCCTTCAGTAATCTTACAACGAACAGGAGTTTTTCCATTGTAAATTCGTACGGAGCAATCAACGAATTCCGGCGAAATAGAAGATCTACGTGACCAAATTGTCATGTTCAAAAGAAGATCTCTCTTCTTTTTCATTCTCAAGAGGAATGCATCAACAAAACTTCTCTTCCATATAGATCGTCGTGGCATGAACTAATTCTTTCGCTTCGATTATGTCTGTCTTTGCTCCTCTCCTGTCGAGTGGCTTACGCTCCTACTCCTCCTCCTTCTGCTCATGAATCCTCCTTGGTCCTTCATTCACTTTTTCTCGCATTGGCTTCTTCTGTGTTAAGCATGACATGTAATGTCATGTTTGAAGTCGAAGCAATCTTCTTGTTTTTATTTCGAAAAATCTATTCTATTTTTCATGATAATAGTTTTTGACTCTTTATTTTGAAGCAAGGTGGATCTATACAGGAACCTAGTTATAATCGTCTTCTTCTTTCTTTCTTAATAAGTTCTTTTTTTTTTTTTTCGATTTTCTTTGAAATGCATGCTTTCCTATGGATGAGACTTTTTATGGAAAGAGGATATGAAGAAGCGAGACCATCAAAGAGAGCACTCTGCTGCGCCTTTATTAGTCTGATGATGTTCTTCTGTTTATGTTCTTCTTTCTTCTTGATTGTTTGCACGTTTGTATGAGAATCAAGCTCATCTCCTTCGTTAAGCACATATAGGGTATCGAGCCCTCGGCGCTTGAGAGAACCCCGGGGAGCTCTTCTGTGATAGGCTCCGAGCTCCTGACTCTACTAGGCAACTAAGACATTAGATGAGGGAGTGCTTTTCTGTTTAGCGCTCTGTGGTTCATAGATTGGATATTGAATTATCCGAAGATGAGTATCCCTCGAGCTTGACTTCCAAGCACTGCTTCTGTAGTCAACAAAGAAGTAGGGTTTTAGACTTCGTCATTAGTTTGACCTTCTGTTCTAAGAAAGAATGCCTGAGCTTCTATAGCGCGAAGACAAGAACTAGTCAATTTCTCTAAAATCTGGAATACCCTTCTTCCTCCATCCATACACTGACATCAGTTACTGAAAACCGAGATATGGGCATAAAGAAAATCAAACTCTTTGCTCATGAATATGCGATGTTAAGGATGCCAGAACTATAGTTGAATTGACCGTTCACTCATAGGTAGCTGCGAACTAGGAAGAAAAAGAAGGACATGGAAGCCAAGCCAATGCGGTCTTAGCTCTTATTGCTGCCAACGACTCCGATGCCGTTGAATCCGTTGGAGGAAGAGCTGCCTATTGAATTTCTTGGAGTAAGGGCTTTCTGAAAAGGCGTAGCTGCAATTGGGCTTCGGCTTGTACTTGAATCGATCTTGCCTTAGTGTTGCTGACTGACGGACCGAAGACAGAATAATAGAATAGGATATTGCACCTCACTTCGAAGAATGGGAGGAAGATTGATACCACTTCGACAACTTAGAATGAGAGAAGGAATGGCATGCTAGACGGCCGGGGAACATTAGCTACGAAAGAAGCAAGAGACTTGACAGCCCTCCTCGACAGCAACTAAAAACACATGAAAGAAAAACAAATGACTTGTTTGGTCAGCTCAACCACTAAAGGTGCGAAGGATTTCTTACTTGAAGGCAGGAGGGTAAAGAGTCTAAACTAAAGGCAAAGGCGTAGGAAACACAGGTCAAAGAAGCAGCACTCGCCGCAGGAGATCGAACAGATCCGGTTAGTTGATTCAAGTCTAAGTAACATCAAACAAAGCGATATAAAGGTGAAGTGGTTTCTCCCCATTGACCGAGTGAAATAACAGCAAGCATGCCATCATAGGTAAAAATAAAAAAGGCCTTTCACATCTAGGAAAGGAGAAGACTCACCTCTCTAACCAGACTCGTCCCTTGTTTTCTTGTATGGGAACCCCATTCTTTAATGAGAGAAAGAAAAGAGTTAATGAAAAGCCTTTTTCAAGCTCATCTCAGATTCATTAAAGAATCAGACATAGCCTAGTTCTATTCATAACAGGCAACGGGGGGTTGGTGTGGACGCTTCGGGCCATCGAACTTAGTTTCAATTGCAAAGCTAAAGGAAGACTAGAAAATAAAATAGGGGGAAGATAGGCTAGGCCAACAGCAAAAAAGCAAGAAGTTGGGCCTGATCTTGATCTATGAGGTGAAAGATCAAGGAAGGGCATTGGTCCGTCTGAAGCCAAGTCTGTCTTATAATAGTAGTAGTTGCCTCCTGATCCTCGAGTGATTCTCGTCGGGATTTCTTTGAAACTACAACTGCCCTTGCCGAAAGAAAGTAATCAAGAGAAGCTTTGAGGGCAGTTAAGGAAGGATAGGGAGGGGCCAAGTCAGGATGGGGGATAGTCAGATGACTTGAGGCTACTATTTAATTCAGCCTGAGAGAAATTCAAACTCAGCTAAAGCGAAAAAGGAAATCAAGTACATTCGAGCATTCGATTCAGGCACTGCAAGCCACGAAGCGAGAGCAGCTGCCAAAGCAATGGAAAAGTTGAGGTTATGAAATAGCTCGACTGCTAAGGAGAGGGGGGCATAGAATGAAACCTTCTAGAATTGATTCTGTCTCCCCTGATCTAAAGGTCAGATACAAAAGGGGACCCTATCCCACTATGAACGAAAAGATGCACAAGCTCTATCCATTATCCAATCACTTGACTTGAACCTAAAGTCTTGCCGATAATGTCTTAAACAAAACAATCTGTATAGTTAGAATTCATGTCCGAATCCAGTAAAAGGACAAGAAAAGGACGGAACTGGTAGTCTAAAGGCCGAGTCTCAGTCTATTAGTTAGATACGCACGCTCTTTCTTGATTTTCCCCGTTGATAAGCATGCTAAGTGTTCAACCCACATTAACAATTTGATCGCAGCCAGCTTCTGAACCGCAGCTCAGGAATAACCAATTTGATCGCAACCAAATTGGGGTATCATGCACACATAACACATAGCAAGCACATGCAACCCACATTAACACATTGGGAAAGGGGGGAAAACGTATAATGAAACCTATGCGTGGTCATCCACAAACTAGGAATGATCCTAAAGGGGTTCATACTTCTTTCACCTAGGTCAACGGGATACCAATTCAACTAGCATGCGATATATAAGACTCATTTATTCTACGAACAGTACCCGAAACATCAAACTAGACTTAGGCACGATAAACGGAGTCCGTTGGGACACCACGAGCGTCGGGGAAACATCAAACGGGGAAGCCGGAGTCCCAAGTTGGGATAATTTCCAGCGGGTAGCCAGTGGGTGGTGGACCACCCGCCGGTGTTAGGTCTCCGGGCAGCGGGTGCCCAGCGGGCAGTCGCCTGCCCGCCGGCTGCCCGCTGCCGGCGATGTCCTTCTCGGGCAGCGAGTAGGTGGCGGGTCCCCCTACCCCCCACTGACTCTTTATTAAAATAAACGTCTCGGGGTCCGTTATGGAACCCGAAACCATGCTTAGACACTTTTAGACGCAATTGATGACACCACGTAGACAATTAACGGATCAAAAGCAAGAATCATATAGCACATATCCTATCATGACTTCTAAACATAATCAACACCCGAACATGCGAATTCCCACCCAATTATATCAAGAATAACACAATACGAAATTCCCAATTTTAACCTAGGGCTCTAATCATATTCAAATAAATAAAATCATAGTTCCTCTTTGAATCATCAAACATCAAGATTCATCAAGAACATCACATAATCATCAAGAATCTCTTATCATCATCAAGATCATCAAGATCACACATAGAATCATCTCATAATCATCAAGAACTCATCATCAATATCATAAATGATTTAACAAGACACAAGTATAGAGAGGAGGCCAAAGAAGATAATTATAGCAAGGAAAATAGGTTTTGTTAAGACATGGGTTACCTCTTATCCATAATTAATTTCCTTGGCTATGAAGGGTCTTTCTTTAAGATTCCTTCTTTCTTGATTTCTCCTAGGGGGATTCTTGGAACTTCTTGTGTGGTGGGAGATTATTGTGGTGTAAGATCTAGGTGCCTCCTATAACCTTATTTATATATTTAAGAGCCCTAATTAGGGTCTAAGTGGTATGGGTTTACTAATCCTATTCCTTATAGGACTAAGGACTTGTTTTAGGGATAAGGGTCCATGGTCCATAGTGGACCATATTAATTAATTAAAGAGAATCCTAATCATAATCTGAATAGTAAAAGGCCTACTTCCTTTATTCTTAATAGATAAATAGGTCTAGGATTCCTAATTATAATCTGACTAGTAAAAGGTTTACTTTCTTTATTCCTAATAGGCTTAAAACTCTAGTTTAGGCAAGGGTCCACGATTCATGGTGGACCTTATTAATTATTTAAAGGGAAACCTAACCAATTTAAATCATATTTAATTATTATTAACGGGATTAATTAAATAATTAATCTGGGATTGAAGGCCGTAACACGGGGTGTTACACTCTCCCCCCCCCCCCTTACGAGAAGCTTCGTCCCCGAAGTTTAGAAGTCGTTACAGGGATAACGAGTCAAAAGTAGTACGGTAGTCATATTGAGAGAATGTATTCTATGGGGAGAATATATAATTGTATATCTATGTGTACTGGGTTTTTGGGAACGATTGGGTTAAATGGATTAAGAGAGTGGGTTTCAAACTTGAGGACAAAGTGAATTTAGGAATTAGGATCAAAGTTTTCAAGGTTTTTCAACTTTAGGAGGTGAGGTTGCTACCTTGTATGGAATCGTTAAAATAGGGAATCAAGAATGGGGTTTGATGGGTAGAAAGGGTTTTGTAACAAGGAGGGGCTCGGTTATCCAAGGGACGGAAAGGGATTCAGTTAGGATGGGTTAAGGGTTCTCGATTCAAGTGACTATTCTGGTTTGATGCTTTGATCACGACGTATTGATGAACTGATGATCCTTCTCCTTTGGTGTTGGCACTTGCTTTACTTTAAGATCCTTGTCGGACCTTGCTTCCCAAGCTTAAGTTTCATCCTTCTTTTCTATCTTGAGGGAATCGCCTGTGATGATTTAATACTTACTTCTTTAATGCGTCCAAGGTCTTGACCAAGTTTGGTCAACCAAGCCAATCTTTTAGGGCGCACTTCCCAAATTCTTCCCAAAGTCTCTTGGTAGTCGATAAACTTTTGGTTGACTTTCTCTTCTTATTGAATTTCATTTCCTTTTTAGTAAATGAAATTCTTAGTAAGACTTCATG